TTGGCCCTTTACTGTTCCTTCTGTACATCAATGACATTACCAAGGTAATTGATCGGGGTAAATTTACTGTTTTTGCAGATGATACCACTATTTTGTGGCATGATACTGACGTGAATAGGCTTTCGTATACTATTAATCGAGATATCTCTATGATTAAACAGTGGTGTGACTGTAATTTGCTGTCTTTTAATATTTCTAAGACAAACATTTTGTCCTTTAAATGTAGTATTGATGCCGTGTTCTTGGATGGTGAACCTATTTCCACACCAAATCATAACAAGTTTTTGGGGTTGTCGATTGACTGTAGTTTAAAGTTCGAGCAACATATTATAAACCTTTGTTCCAAAATATCGTCGGGTTGTTATGCAATCAGATTAATCTCAAACAATCTGGATTTTTCTATTGCTAAAAGTGCGTACTATGCACTGGTTGAGAGCCATATCCGCTATGGGGTTGTCGTTCTGACTTTTTATTTAATTCTGTATTTGTTTTGCAAAAAAGAGCTGTGCGTTATATGTGTTATGCTAAACCTCGTGATTCTTGTCGTCCATTTTTCTTGAAACATGCATTGTTGACTGTTAGTTGTATTTTTATTCTTGAAACTGTCTGTCTTGTTTTTCGAAAATATAAGTCCAGTCATTTACGTGATAATCCTTATGAAACCAGACAAAATTTCAATGTTAGGTTGCCTAAAAAAATCTAGGTTCGTATTTAAAAAACGTAAGTTAAGGATGGCCGCCTGAAGACGAAACATCGAATTTTAAATTTAGTACCACCATATACTAGAGGGGAAGAAGTGACAATGATGAAGTGACATTTATTTTAAAATTGCTTTTCAAATATGACCGGGAAAAAATAAAAACGATTTTACAAAATTTTGTTTTTTTCCGAATATCTCCGGAAGTATTCGGAATCTTTCTAGTTTCAAAATGATATTCTATTGGTCATAAAATTGCGCAACTTTGCCATAATAATTACGGTTACCGAGATACCAATGATGAGGCCCAAATTCGGGCCACCCTGTATATCTGGAAAACGAAGCATTTCCGGACACATGTATATTAAGAAAAAAGTTTTATTTTTACGAGATCTACCATCCCTAGAAGTTTGTAACAAACCTTTCGTGACACCCTGTATAGAACAGACATAGACAAGCCAACAAATAATAGGAAAAGAAGACCGAAAACTGAAAAACCCCAGGATGACCAAAGAAATAATAAAATCAATGAATGAGAGACGCAAAGTTAAGAACAATACAAAAAGTTGGACAAAGAATTCCAGAGAAAGAGTTCAAGAGCCAAGGAGAACTGGCTCCAAAGAAAATGCGATGAAGTGGAACAACATAAAGATAGAGAATCACACAGAAAAATCATGGAAATCACAGATTTCTGCAAACCTAGCAATCGCAAACGACAATAATGTAATAGAAATGGACCACAACAAATAACATGGAAGAATTGTTCGGTGATGTGAGAAGTAATCAGAAATAACGGCACTTCAAACACATAAGTGATAATGCCATTGGAATATTGACTCAATACAGTATTTACAACAAATCCCAGAAGATTGTACATGCACTAGTTCAATTTTGAGGTTTCTGTTTGTTTGTTATCGTAGAAAGATTATTGGTTTGATCGTTCACAGTCAGGCATTTGCATTACTCTGCTCATCATTCGTCAGTAATACAATTACATCTGTGCCGGTATCCCAGTTCTTCTCAGTGGCAAAAATAGAGTTTATATAGTCATCTGTACACACTTTCATAGACAGTGGACCAAAAAAGTGGTATAAATATTTCGCAAGTCCTCATGTACTTTGTTTTTGAAAACATTTATGGAGGAGAGGGTAACAGTTTCTTATCTTTATTAGGCTTTAGTAGCCAGATTTGTGTCCACGCTTCCAACGAGATTAGGTCATCAGTCAGTGTATTACTGCTTCTAAGAGGATTTCCAAGCAAAGAATACCAGAACAGATTTGATGAAGTTGTACTCCGCTAAGAACATCGTATGGTTTGGACAATTGGTTTTCAACTCTCACCTTGCAGGATCGTGGTATCAAAAAATCCAGGTAAGTATTCTTCCTCGTATGTCAAGATGCTCTAGTTTTATCAAGAGTCTGGAATGTGGCACCTTATCAAAAGCCTTTTCATAGTCGAGACGTCGAGATACACTGAATTGAATTTGAAATATTTTCTTAAATGATTATGTTGACTTAATTTTTTGTTAAGTGTTTTGACTAGTTCGATTACTTCATTGATTGGAACACTGTATCTAACCTGGAGTGATATTTAACTTAGTACTTATCAAAGCCTGAATGATTAATGATAAAAACATAAAATACAAAAAACACTTAACAAAATTCTGAATTTTGTTGCAGTTGTTGTAACATTTGCAATTTCTTATTTAATATGCTACTGTGTTTTGCTCTAGTAGATATGATTCTATATTGAACTATAAAGAAATAAATGAATGAACATCTATCTTTTCTGTGCCCAGATTTTATTACCTTGAGTACTGCCTTCTACTGAAAGTTTTTTAGCTCAGGTTTGCAAGTTTGGTTAATTGATCTAGGAAGGTTTGATTCAGTACGGAGGGCCCGCTGTTATTGATTAGAATCTTATATAAAGGAGAGATTTTTTCATCATCTCTGTTTGCAAATCCAATTAATAAATAATCTGAGGTTATGATAAATTGTTGTTTACTTCTTTTGATTTATCATTTCGATCATGTCATTGAACAGCTGTTTTGTCTAGGCGTTTTCTTTAGACCTGCTCTACCTTTTGATATATGTTCTATAGGCATTTTTCAACATTCACCAGTCATTTTTACACAACCAAACTTCCAGTTCGTATTCTTGGGGTGAAACTGAACACGCCTTTTTTCTATAATTTTCTTCAATGTCAAAATTAGAAGTTTGACAAGTGAAAGCCTTCTTCCGAAATCTAAATGAAGAATCAGCCCTTTTGATCTTGAGACTTGATACCGAAAAGGTTGGTTTCGGCCCTAATTGATTTTGGGCGAGACTTTTTGGAATTTTGTGCCAGGGAACTCAAGGTTTAGACTAATTTCTTATTGATAATTGTCTGGAGTCGTCCCTTGGTCATTTTGGATTTTGTTTCGGTAAGTTTTGAGATTTTCTTCAGGATTATTAACCTACAACACGTGTTTCGTTTCTTCAATAAGACTGTTCCGAGCAGCTTTTGGAAGTTTAAGACTTCACTTTTGGTCTAGAGCTCAGACGTCTAGAGTATCCCTCAATTTGAGGTAAGATTATTTCTAATATTTGGGGCTCGATTTGTTTTTTATACGAAAATCGTTATAGGGTCCTAATGCCAGGTTATACTTGGAAGACTCTAGGCTATACCTAGACAGCTCCTAGGCTGTAATTAAAGAGATTCTAGACTAGATCTAGATTGCTCTTAGTTTGGCTTTGGTAGCCTTCCTTCAGCAACCCTACCAAGAGGGTAGGTCAAGATAGGTACCTACCTTATGATCAAGAAGTAGCATTTTTTTTTTTTTTTGAATTTCCATAAAGAAACATATCTTCCCTAACTCGCTGATTTTAGGGACACCCTGCATAAAGTATTTCTATGTAAAAGATAGCTCTAGGTATATTTGGCATAATACTCTATTTAGTATTTACGTTAGAAAATCGGCTTTTAAGGAATTTGACTATTTACGTAAGAAAATCGTTTTTTAAGGAATTTACTTTATGCTTATCTTGGAACACCCTAGCTAGTTTTACTACTGTTTTTTTTTACTTAAACTTTACTTTTATAAATTCCAAGACTTTTATTTATAAAACTTAGGTAGTTATGTAATTTTTAATGCCAATTATCATTTTTTTTATTAAATTTCTCAGCAAGTTCCCAATTTTTCAACTCCCTGTAAAAAATATACAGACGATTTTCGAGAGTGCCAACAAGTCAATATGGTTTAATATAGTCCTTTACTACACACTAAAACTTATTTCACAATTTTAGGACGTCTTAAAAACGAAAAGTCATATTAGACCCTACTATCTAGCGAAATCAACGTCCGTCAAATTTATAAAACGTTCAAAAAACTTTATCAATTTTTCAATTTTTTTGAGTGCCTTTTTTCATAGATTTCGGCTTCAAATCTGAGAATAATTTAGTGTATGGAGTTTGGGGTATGTTGATTGACCATTAGGATACAAAATCTCGACAAAAAAAAAAATTAAATTTCATCGTTTTAGTAAGAAAATACCTACCTTATGATTTAGATTTTGGAAAACTTTGAAAGGTCATAACTTTTTTTTCTATTATAGATAGAAAGCTGAAACTTTCACTGAATTTTATCCCTTTCAAAGGACTTCAATCCCTGAAAATTTCAGCTCATTTGCACCTATAGTTCCTGAGATAAAATCGTGTTAAGCAATTTAGGGTGATTTATCAATTTTTCTGAGTGCCTTTTTTCATAGATTTCGGCTTCAAATCTGAGAATACTTTAGTGTATGGAGTTTGAGATATGTTGATTGACCATTAAGATACAAATTCTCGACAAAAAAAATTAGAAATTTCATCGTTTAAGTAAGAAGGTACCTACCTTATGATCTAGATTTTAGAAAACTTTGACAGGTCATTACTTTTTTACAAGCTTTTATTTAACTTCACCTGTATGTATGTTACAAGCTTTTATTTAACTTCACCTGTATGTATGTATGTATGTATGTATGTATGTAATCAAATCTTGCAACTCATTTTTGAAGAACTTCCAAACATCCGATTGACTTCAAATTTCGCATAGCATCTTAGTTCCGATGACAATACAATAATATGGTTTCATCGGGTACCTACCTCCCCCCTAACGTGGGGGGTGTAAAATATAAAGACAAACTAGTTAGTGAAACTGATAAGGCTAATCGAAAAAGACTTGAAAAACAAAGCGAATATATGAAGCATATAAGAGCAACAGAAAATGAAACGAAACGGAATGCTCGATTGGAAAAATTAAAAAATCACAGTTTCATGATAAAAAATGCAGAAACTTTTGAACAACGCAAAAATTCGTTTAAATAATATGCGGCTGCACGCAACTCAGATTAGAGTCGCAGAAAATTCCGAAGAACGCGATATTCGTTTAAATTCTATGCGACTTCACGCGACTCAGGTGCGAGCAGCAGAGAGACCTGAACAACGCGAAATACGACTTGAGAATATGCGGTTACACGCGACTCAGGTACGTGCACTAGAAAATACTGAACAACGTGATACACGTCTTAAGAGTATGCGCTCACATGCGAGTCAAGTAAGAGCTGCCGAAACTCCCGCTGAACGCGTTGCCCGAACTCAGAATATGAGAGTATATAGTTCACAATCTCGAAGAGCTCATAGAGCCAACATCGAAACATTTCAAAAAACTATAAATACATTTTGTGATCGGATATGCATGATTTGTACAAAAAGATGCTATACCAATCAAGTAACAAATTACAAGGTCCACATCATTAAAGCTGCATATTTGCCTCAGGAATTAGCATGTAAAACAACTTTGCTTTTATGTCATCGCTGCAATAAACACGTTACTAGTAATAACAACACGCCACCCTCCAAAGCATACTGGAATAACTTAGATCCAGGTATCATTCCAGAAGTTATTAATCAGCCTGAACAGCGTTTGTTATCGAGAATTATTCCGTTCACAAAAGTGGTTAAGTTTGATGGAACATTTGGTCAATACGGTTTCCGAGGACAAGCAGTGCTCTTCGCGCAAGATATTTTTGAAGTCACGGAAAAATTACCCAATATGCTTCCTCGATCTACCGATAGTATTGGTATGATTGTAGTTTCCGAACATTTGCAAAATCTCAATATTACACGCGAATTTCCAGTATCGCGAACTAGGGTTTACGAGGCATTGCAATGGTTAGTTACTAACAATCCGCTGTATAAAGACGTAGTTGTGGATTCAGGTGTTCAACTTCAGGAACAGGATTTGATACGCATCGTTCCGCCAAAAGTGAATGATACGAGGCGTATTGAAGGCCAAACCGAAACTGAGCATATACGTGATACTGCATTTGTAGCTATCAGTGCGTCGTCTCGTATATTACGTGCCTCTTGGCATCAAGGAAATGAACAAATATTCCATTTATATCCTGGTATGCAGTGTTGCGCGATGGTCATTGCTAATATTGTAAGAGCTGCATTTGTTGATCCTAACTCATGGACAAATAATATTTTAAATGAAAATATGTTGGAGGGTGATAATATGTATGCGACAATAAGGCGACTGTCGATGAATAATGTACAAGCTCCTCCAATAGATGAAACAGGATATTTAGAAATACGTCACTTGGATGTTATAAAAAACAGATTCAAAATGTACGACCGACATTTCTCAATTCAATATGATGAAGACACAAACTTTTATGGTAGTTTACAAGACTCTGCTAATGTAGATGGTGTAGGTATGACGCTACGAAACGCTTTAAATAACATGTTTTCGGAGTATACAGCAGGTGCTTTAATTACTGGTTCTTATACATTTGGAGTTATGAATATTGCCAACAAATATTATTTCACCAACTCCCATTCATGTGGCCCTAAAGGCGCAAGTGCTTCGCGGGACAATGGAAGAGCCCGTGTAATACAATGCGATACGCTTGACGAACTTATTCGAGTCTGCAGATGTACCACAGGAACAAGAAATACACAATTTACGTTAAATTACGTTGCCGTTACTGCTGTAATTAATGATATATTGTCACTGTATAGCGAAGTTCACTCTTTAGTTCAGGTAGCACAAGAGCCGTTACAAACGGCTCAGCTGCAAATAATGTAAACGCTTCAATGAACGAAGCAGCCAGACTTGATTCAAGTACCACCACACAACCTGTAATTGATCAAAATTCTAATAAGTGCTCAAATAAAGAAGGCGTTGGACCTAACACAGTTTCAGGATTTAGTGATCATTTAGAGAATATTCCTGTCCAAAGTTCTTTACTGGCTCCGATTGATACCATCCAACCAGTCGAAGAGGAAGAGTTAGACATATCAACTGACTTGAATAAGATTAGCAGAAAAACAAAAGATAACATTGTTAATGAAGCTCACGAACGTAAAGTGGAAGAGTTTTCTTGGTTTTTCTTATTTCCGTATGGAATCAATGGTTTGAATGAAGCTCGACCTGTGAAAATAACTCCTCTTGATTACTTTCAATTTAGAATTTTGGGCCAGGATTCGAGATTTCAACGAAACGATTACTTGTTCTACGCTCTATCAATGTATGAGTACTATAGACTTAAGTCCACAATAGCTGCATGTTGTAAGAAGGTTAAATGCCAGGATGGTAAGGTAGAAGATGTTCATCTATATCTCAGAAATTTGAGGGGGTCGTCAGCATATTGGAAAACAGCTTTAAATGAGCTTTTAGCGCAAATTCGTTGCTTGGGACCGCCGACTTACTTTTTAACGTTTAGTTGCAACGACGTTAATTGGCCAGATATGCGCAAAGCTTTGCTGATCGCTGATGGACGACCAAACGACAATCCAGATGACTTGAATTTGATACAAGCACAACGACTAATAGAGAATTATCCTGCTATCGTAAGTCGTCATTTCATGATCAGAGTAAATGCTTTGATGAGGTTCTTACGCAGTGATAATGAGGTTCTTGGAGGTCCCCTAAAGGACTTTTGGTGGAGAATCGAATTCCAAAATCGTGGAAGTCCTCATCTTCATATGCTCACATGGATTGACGGACATCCATCTTTCGATACTGAAGAAGGATTGCGCATCCTTGACCAAGTTTGTAAGTGTGAAATGCCACCACAAAATTCGGATTTGTACGAGCTGGTGAAAAAATACCAAGTACATCGACACTCGCATACTTGCTACAAAAAAGATGATACTTCTACCTGTAGGTTTGGGTTTCCACGAGCTGCGTGTGACGAGACAAGAATAGTCGCTCATTCTTCAGAAGAATTTATTCGAAATGGGGGCAGAATGTGTTTGCTCAAACGTCGACCCGAAGAAAAATGGGTTAATAACTATAGTGCAACTCTTTTGAAAATTTGGCAGGGAAATCATGATATTCAACCCTGTGGTTCAAGCGAATGAATAGCTTTCTATGTTGCAAAATACATGTCTAAGTCGGAGCCCAACCAGCTTGAAGCCAGTGTCGCTCAAGCAATTCGAGAGATTCAACGCGAGGACACTGACGTATCACGCAAACTGTTCAAAATTTGCATGCGGATTTTGAAAGAGAGACAAGTGTCTGCATGTGAATGCGTATATAGACTTTGTCATTTGAATTTTAGAGACAGTTCCAGAAAATGCGTTTTCTTGAATGCAAGAAAGCCAGAGCAAAGGTATAAGGTACTAAAGTTTAATGAAACTGGACAGGCTACAGGATATTGCGCAAACATTTTCGACAGGTATGAGAAACGCCCTCTCCAACACACAGACTATGACTTCGAAAATATGTGTCTTCTTGAGTTTGCTATGTTATTTGAGCCATATTATGCCAGATCACAACCAGATTCTGAAGAGAGTGTCGATGAGTATGAGCCGGAACAGCAAGCAAGACGTCGGTTAATAACACTAACTGACAATACTAAAATGATCATCATAAATGTCCCTTGTACGTGTTCCTTACTTTATGGCAGCAACTGATCCTGAAAACTACTACTATAGTTTGCTCCTTCAGTACGTTTCTTATCGAAGTGAAAGCGAACTGATGGTTGACTATGATACAGCCAGGGAAGCATTTCTCGAAAGAGAGCCCCATATTAGATTGACAAATACTCGGCTAGAGATTTACAGAGAACGTGATAGACAGGTTAGAAAACGCATTCAATCAGATTCATGCTTTTGATATACTAGAAAGAGAAGCTCAGGAAGAAAATGGAGAGGAGGAAGAAGAAGAGATACCGCAACAGAACATGTCTGATGATCAGTTTGAAAGTGCAATGAAAGCAATGAATCTTGGCCAAAAGGAAGTTTTCGCATTCATAACACGAAATATATCAGAGCAGTTAACTGGTGGTGTAAATCGTCTGAAACTTTTTATTACAGGAAATGCTGGAACAGGTAAAACATTTTTGTTTAATTTGCTAAAGAATCAAATTAACCGTTGTTATGGTAAACCTGCTGTCAAAGTCTGCGCATTAACAGGAGTAGCTGCCCGTTTGGTGGGAGGATCAACATTGCACTCGACACTTAAACTTCCTGTCCAGAAAGATGGAAGAATAGTCCAAATGCGGATTCTCACTGGAAACTATTTGCGAATTATGCGTCAACAGTGGCGGGATATCGAATTTTTATTTATTGATGAAATATCGATGGTACCATATGAAATGTTGTGCATGGTTGACTCCCGCCTCAAGAAGTTGAAAAACAGTGAATTGCTTTTTGGTGGAATAAACATTTGTGTTTTTGGTGATTTAATGCAATTACCACCGGTACGTGGCAGCCAGGTTTTCAAACAGCCAGATAAGTTGGTTCCAGCAACCCATTTATGGCGTCTTTTCTCATTGGTAGCGTTAACCGAGAACATGAGACAACAGGGAAATTCATAATTTATAGGTGTTCTTAATGCATTGATAATTGGTGAACTTAGTTCGGAACATTTTTCCCTCCTTTCAAAAAAGGCAAGTAAAGTTTTCACTGGTGAATTTGCCCTTGAAAATGCTTTGCGAATCTATCCAACTAACAAGCAGGTGCAAGCACACAATCAGACCGTACTTGAACACTTTCGAGCCAGTGGAAAACAAATATTTAAAATCGTGGCACAAGACACACTGATAGATGCAACTCGCAAATCTGATAACGTAGATTTGAATAGTATTATACCAATAGATATCAATAAAACTGGAGGTCTGCCAAAAGAATTAGAAATATTTGAAGGCGCCAAAGTTATGTTGCGGTCCAACATAGATGTAAAAAATTTAGAAAAAAAAACTTTTTGAAAACAAGCTTTTATAAAATGGACTAAAAATAATAATAGTATATTGTTGTATTAGGAGTAGAAGCAAGCCTCACTACGTTCGGCTCGCAAACCTACTGCTTCAGCACAAAAAAGTGCTTCTACTCCGTATGCAACACGCTATTTTTTCTCCAAACGAATGTGGTAAGCTCGGGGGTAACTGGATGGTTGAGCGGCAGTAAAAGTACAAGCGGGACTAAAAGTACTTTTACTGTACTTTTGCTGCCGCTGGGGTTGCCAAGCAGCATAGAAATTAAATTTCTACCACCTCGACAGGTGTTAACCTCCTGGATTTGCCTAGCAACATAGAAATTGAATTTCTACCATCTTGACAGGTGTTGACAAAGTGATGTTTTTTTGACGTTTGGAGAAAATAGTTATTTTCCTAACAAGTGCGCAAAGTGTTACTTTTCCGCACGCAAACACAGTTATACGAACGACGCGCAGCGGAGTTCGGATGAGTGTTTGCGTGCGGAAAAGAAACTTTGCGCACGTGTTAGGAACAAAATTTTTCCTACGAGCCTCATATCAGGTAGGTAACAACAAAAATTTAAAAAAAAAACGATAATTTGTTCAATTATTTTCAATTAACCTGAAGCGAAACTATTCATTTATCAAAAAATTACATAACAAAAAAACAGGAAATTGAAATCCTCGTCAGAGCTGTTCATCTTAAAGCGTTTAAATTTGATGCGAAAGAAGTTTGTAGATTCTTACATGTAAATTGAGAACACAAATCTGACAATGTGTCAAAGCTTATTATATTCAGTGTTTGTATAGATGTTGGCTGATACCTATAGAAACAGAGGAAAAATTTGTCATCATGTGTCAAAGTCGACAGGTGCTTGACAATTATTTTTACTTTTCGGCACTCAGTGCGGATAAGGCCCGTATCCGCACTGAGTGCGGAAAAGTGTAACTTTGAGAACGATAATGCGTGCGGAAAAGTACTACTTTGCGCACGCTCGTAGGAAAAATAATTTTTTGAGTGTTCTGATATCATAATAATAAAAGCGATGGGCGTATTTAATATTAGGTAAATGCCTTTCCATGCGCATTTGGTGGATCGTCCACAACCGATGATGAGCCGACTCTTCTTTTTCAATGTGACAAAATAAATCGACACACTGCCGGTCGCGGATGATCTGCCTAATATGAAGCAGGTGTAATAATGTCCATCCATATCAGAAAAATGTAAGGGTAGCTTGAGTAGGGTTGGGTTAAATTGTCTACCCTTACATTTCTCTGCTATAATATAATGAATTTGAATTTTCACTAAACTTCCAGTTAACAAGGCTAAAACAAAAACGGGTAAATTTCCTTTAATACGCCCATCGCTTTTATTATTATGATATCAGAACACTCAAAAAATTATTTTATTCTTTTTAGTCCATTTTATAAAAGCTTGTTTTCAAAAAGTTTTTTTTTCTAAATTTATTTCTATTACAGATAGAAAGCTGAAACTTTCACTGAATTTTATCCCTTTCAAAGGACTACAATCCCTGAAAATTTCAGTTCATTTGCACTTATAGTTCCTGAGATAAAATCGTGTTAAGCAATTTGGGGTGATTTTATCAATTTTTCAATTTTTCTGAGTGCATTCTTTCATAGATTTCGGCTTCAGATCTAAGAATAATTTAGTGTATGGAGTTTGGGGTATGGTGATTGATCATTAGGATACAAAATCTCGACAAAAAAAAAATTTGAAATTTCATCGTTTTAGTAAGAAGGTACCTTACCTTATGATTTAGATTTTGGAAAACTTTGAAAGGTCATAACTTTTTTCCTATTATAGATAGAAAGCTGAAACTTTCACTGAATTTTATCCCTTCCAAAGGACTACAATCCCTGAAAATTTCAGCTCATTTGCACTTATAGTTCCTGAGATAAAGTCGTGTTAAGCAATTTGGGGTGATTTATCAATTTTTCAATTTTTCTGAGTGCCTTCTTTCATAGATTTCGGCTTCAAATCTGAGAATAATTTAGTGTATGGAGTTTGGGGTATGTTAATTGACCATTAGGATACAAAATCTCGACAAAAAAAAAATTGAAATTTCATCGTTTTAGCACAGATACGTTTTAGTAAGAAGGTAAATACCTTATGATTTAGATTTTGGAAAACTTTGAAAAGTCATAATTTTTTTTCTATTATAGATAGAAAGCTGAAACTTTCACTGAATTTTATCCCTTTCCAAGGACTACAATCCCTGACAATTTCAGCTCATTTGCACTTATAGTTCCTGAGATAAAATCGTGTTAAGCAATTTGGGGTGATTTATCAATTTTTCAATTTTTCTGAGTGCCTTCTTTCATAGATTTCGGCTTCAAATCTGAGAATAATTTAGTGTATGGAGCTTGAAGTATGTTTATTGACCATTAGGATGCAAAATCTCGACAATTTTTTTTTTTAATTTCATCGTTTTAGTAAGAAGGTACCTAACTTATGATTTAGATTTTGGAAAACTTTGAAAGGTCATAACTTTTTTCTATTATAGATAGAAAGCTGAAACTTTCACTGAATTTTATCCCTTTCAAAGGACTACAATCCCTGAAAATTTCAGCTCATTTGCACTTATAGTTCTTGAGATAAAATCGTGCTAATACTTCCACCTACAAGCTTTATTTTTCACGTTTTTTGATAACCTGGGTATACATTTTGTCCCCACGATTAAAGTGAGTGTTTTAGTGGAATAGGTTATGCCATCATCAAATAAATCATAAATACACATTTGAGAAACATCTTTATCAATAATTGCTTCCTGTCAAAATTTATAAGTAATAGATTTTCAGCAAATCAATATCTTCTATTTTACTAATCGAAAAACAATGTCCTATCCTTTTTCCTCCTGGGGTATATAATATATTATGCCCCATGTATCTTTTTATATAATTTCTCATTCTACGAAAGAAATAAATTTAACTTACTCCGAGCAGGTTCATCAACATTAACATCATACTCAGCTTTCTTCTTCATTGCAAATTTCTGTTTTCGATAATTATGTCTATATACAATAGGGTACTTGCATGGAAAATTAAATTGATTATTGTTTATTGCAAACTGTAGGAAATCGAAAAAAAAATCGTTACTTTTTTTTAATTTCGCCCAAATATGATTATTCCGGAAGTTATACAA